AAAAAAAAAAAAAAAAAGAAAGCAAACTTGGCAAAATATCAACTTCTCTCCAGGAAACAAAAATAAATAAATAAATAAATAAACTATTATTGATGTAGTCAACCCTATTGTGTCACTGAATACCAGATCTTATTCATTCTATCTATTTTTGTACCCATTAACCATCCTGACTCCTCCTCACACCTGACTATCCTTCCCAGACTCTGGTAACTATCCTTCTACTCTTTATCTCCATGAGTTCAATTGTTTTAATTTTTAACTCTCACAAACAAATAAGAACATGTGAAATTTGTCTTTCTGTGCCTGGTTTATTTCACTTAACATAATGAACTCCAGTTTCATCTATATTGCTGTAAATGACAGGACCTCATTCTTTTTCATTGCTGAATAATACTCCACTGTGTGTATATATTTGTATATATACATACATATATACACATATATATACACACTACACACTACACACACACACACACACACACACACACATATACACACACGCACACTGCATTTTCTTTATCTGTTCATCTGTTGATGGACACTTAGGTTGCTTCCAAATCTTGGCTACTGTGAATCGCCCTGCAATCTACATGGGAGTGCAGATATCTCTTTGATATATTGATTCCCTTTCTTTTGGGTATATACCTAGTAGTGAGATTGCTGAATCATATGGTAGCTCTATTTTTGTTGAAGAACCAGCAAACTGTTTTCCATAACGGTTGTACTAATTTACATTCCAGCAACAGTGTACAAATGTTCCCTTTTCTCCACATCCTCACCAGCATATGTGTTATTGCCAGTCTTTTGGATAAAGCCACTTGAACTAGGGTGATATAATATTTCATTGTAGTTTTGATTTGCATTTCTCTGATGATCAATGATGTTGAGTACCTTTTCAAATGCCTGTCTACCATTTATTAGTAGTAGTATTTTTTGAGACAGGGTGTCACTCTATTACCCAGGCTAGAATGCAATGGTGCAATCTCAGCTCACTGCAGCCTCTGCCTCCCGGGCTCAAGAGATCCTCCCACCTCAGCTTCCTATAGACGTGTGCCACCATGCCCAGTTATATTTTTTGTAAAGGTGGGGTTTCACCATGTTGCCCAGGTTAGTCTTGAACTCCTGGGCTCAAGCAATCTGCCCGCCTTGGCCTCCCACAGTGCTAGAATTACAGATGTGAGCTGCTGCACCTTGCTCTGTCTGCTATTTATATGTCTTCTTTTGAGAAATGTCTATTAAGATCTTTTGCCCATTTTTAAATTGGATTATTAGACTTTTTCCTATAAAGTTGTTTGAGCTCCTTATATAGTCTCATTATTAATTACTTGTCAGGTGGATAGTTTGCAAATATTTTCTCCTGTTCTGTGGGTTGTGTCTTCACTTTGTTGATTGTTTTCTTTGCTGTGTAGAAACTTTTTAACTTGATGGGATCTTACTTGTCCATTTTTGCTTTGGTTGCCGGTGCTTGGAGGGTACTATTCAAGAAATCTTTGCCTAGTCCTAAGTCTTAGAGAGTTTCCCAATGTTTTCTTTTAGTAGTTTCACAGTTTGAGGTCTTAGATTTGAGTCTTGAATCCATTTTGATTTGATTTTTGTATATGGCAACAGATAGGGGTCTTAATTCTTCTGCATATGAATATGAATATCTAGTTTCCCCAGCACCATTTATTGGAAGAGTTGTCCTTTCTCCAATATATGTTCTTGGTAACTTTGTCAAAAATGAGTTCATTGCAGATGGGTGGATTAGATTCTAGGTTCTCTGTTTTGTTCCACTGGTATTTGTTTTTATGCCAGTACCATGCTGTTTTGGTTACTATAGCTTTGTAGTATAATTTGAAGTCACATGATATGATTCCTCCAGTTTTGTTCTTTTTGTTCAGGACAGCTGGACAACTTTGGTTATTCTGAGTCTTTTGTGGTTCTATAAAAATGTTAGGATTGTTTTTCCTATTTCCATGACAAATGCCACTGGTATTTTGATAGAGACTGCACTGAATCTGCAGATTACTTTAGGTAGTAAAACATTTTAACAATACTGATTCTCCCAATCCATGAGCATAGAATATCTTTCCATTTGTTTGTGTCCTCTTCAGTTCTTTCCTTCCTTCCTTCCTTCCTTCCCTCCCTCCCTTCTTGCTTTCTTCCTTCCTTCCTTCCCTCCCTCCCTCCCTCCTTGCTTTCTTCCTTCCTTCCTTTCTCAAGTGATTTTCCTGCCTCAGCCTCCCAATTTCTTTCATCAATGTTTTACAGTTTTCATTGTAAGAGATCTTTCACTTGAACATGGGATATCTTTCCATTTGCTCCTCTCCTCCCCTCCCCTCCCCTCCCACCCCTCTCCTTTCCTTTCTGTCTGTCTGTCTGTCTGTCTGTCTGCCTGTGTCTTTGTCTGGTTTTGGTATCAAGGTAATGCTGGCCTAAGAGAATGAGTTGAAAAGTATTCCCTCTCCTATGTTTTTTGGAATAGTTTGAGTAAAATTGGTATTAGTTCTCCTTTAAGTGTTTGGTAAAATTCAGCAGCAAAACCACCCAGTCCCAGGCTTTTCCTTGCTGAGAGACTTTCTATGACAGCTTTGATCTTGTTATTTGTTTTTTTGTCTCTTTAGGTTTTGAATTTCTTTATGGATCAGTCTTGGTAGGTGTGTTAGTCCTTTCTCACATTGGTATAATGAACAACGTGAGACTGGGTAATGTATAAAGAAAAGAGGTTTAACTGACTCATGGTTCTGCAGGCTGTACAGGAAGCATAGCTGGGGAGGCTTCAGGAAACTTACAATCATGGCAGAAGGGGAAGAGGAAGAAAAGAGAGAAGGGGGAGGTGCCACATACTTTTAAATAACCAGATGTCATGAGAACTCACTCACAACCAAGAGAATGGCAAGAGGAAGACACAAACCCAAATCATAAAGGTAGGTTGCATGCATCTAGGAATTCATCCTTTTTTTTTTTTTTGACAGAGTCTTGCTCTGTTGCCCAGGATGAAGTGCAGTGGTGCAATCTTGGCTTACTGGACCTTTGCCTCCCAGGTTCAAATGATTCTCACACTTCAGCCTCCCGAGCAGCTGGGATTTCAAGTGTGTGCTACTACACTCGGATACTTTTTGTATTTTTACAAAAATACAAAACAGGGTTTTGCAATGTTGGCCAGGCTGACCTCGAATTTCTGGCCTCAAGTGATCCACCTACCTTGGCCTCCCAAAGTGCTACAATTACAGGTGTGAGCCACTGTGCCCAGCCCAATTTATCCACTTCTTCAGGGTTTTCCAATTTATTGGCATATGTTGTTCTCAGTAGCCGCTAATGATCCTTTGCATTTCTGAGATATTGGTTGCAATGTCTCCTTTTTCATTTCTGATTTTATTCATTTGGTTATTCTCTTGTTTTTTTCCTCACGAGTCTGGCTAAAGGTTTGCTGATTTTCAACAGTGAAGTCAAGAGTCAAATCACAAATAAACTCCCTTTCACAACTGACACACCAAAAATAAAATACCTAGAAATACAGCTAACAAGGGTAGTGAAGGACCTCTAAAAGAAGAACTACAAATCACTGCCCAAATAAATTAGAGATGATACAAACAAATGAAAAAACATTCTGTGCTCATGGATAGGAAGAATCAATATCATAAAAATGGCGATATTGCCCTAAGCTATTTATTTATTTGAGAAGAAGTCTCATTCTGTTGCTCAGGCTGTAGTACAGTGGGTGCAATCTCAGCTCGTTGCAACCCGCACTTCCTGGGTTCAAGATTCTCCTGCCTCAGCCTCCCAAGTGGCTGGGACTATAGGTATGCACCAACACACCTGGCTAATTCTTGTATTTTTAATAGAGACAGGGTTTTACCATGTTGGCCATGCTGATCTGGAACTCCTGACCTCAGGTGATCTGTCTGCCTTGGCCTCTCAAAGTGCTGGGATTACAGGTGAGTCAGGTGCCCAGCCTGCCCTAAGTAATTTATAGATTCAGTGCTATTCCCATTAAACTACCATTGACATTCTTAGCTGAACCAGAAAAAACTGTTTTAAAATTCATATGGAACCAAAAAAGAGCCTGAATAGCCAAGACAATCCTAAGCAAAAAGAACAAAGCTAGAGGCATCAGAGTACCCAACTTCAAACTATACTATAGAGCCACATCAACCAAACAGCATGGTTTATTTACAAGAACAGACACACAGACCAATAAACCAGAACAGAGAACCCAGAAATAAGACTGCACATCTAAAACCATCTGATCTTCAACAAACCTGACAAAAAACAATGAGGAAAGGATTCCCTATTTAATAAATGGTGCTGGGATAACTGGCTAGCTATATGCAGAAAACTGAAACCAGACCCATTCCTTACACCATATACAAAAGTCAACTCAACTGGACTAAACCCAAACTATAAAAACCCTAGAATAAAACCTAGGCAATGCCATTCAGGATAGGCGTGGGCAAAGATTTCATGACGAACACCAAAAGCAATTGCAACAAAACAAAAATTGACAAATGGGATCTAATTAAACTTAAGAGCTTCTGCACAACAAAATAAACTGAGAAAAACTTTTTGAAAACTAAGCATTCTGACAAAAGTCTAACACTCAGCATCTATAAGGAACTTAAACAAATTTACAAGAAAGAAACAACCCCATTAAAAAATCGGCAAGGGACATGAACAGACACTTCTGAAAATAAGACACACATGCAGCCAGCAATCATATGAAAAAAGCTCAACATCACTGATCATTTCAGAAATGCAAATCAAAACCACAATGAGATACCATCTCACATCAGTAAGAATGGCTACTAATAAAAAATTGAAAACTAACAAATGCTGGCAAGGTTGTAGAGAAAAAGTAACTTTTAGACTGTTGGTGGGAGTGTAAATTAGTTCAACTATTGTGGAAGACATGGTGGCAATTCCTCAAAGACCTAGAGACATAAAAACCATTTTACCCAGCAATCCCATTACTGAGTATAATATACTCAAAGGAATATAAATTGTTCTATTATAAAGACATACGCCTGCTTATGTTCATTGCAGCACTATTCACAATAGCAAAGACATGTAATCAATCTAAATGACCATCAATGATAGATTGGATATAGAAAATGTGTTGCACATACACCACAGTATACTATGCAGTCATAACAAAATATGAGAATATGTCCTTTGCAGGAACAAGAACGGAGCTGGAGGACATTACCCTTAGCAAACTAATGTAGGAACAGAAAATCAAATACTACATGTTCTCATTTGTAAGTGGGAGCTAAATGATGAGAACACATGGACACAGAAGGGAACAACACATATTGGGGCCTACCGCAGTGTGGAGGATGGAAGGAGAGAGAGAATCTGGAAAAATAATTAATGGGTACTAAGCATAATACATGTGTGATGAAATAATCTGTATGAAACCCTCCATGACACAAGTTTACCTATGTAATCTGCACATCCTGCACATGTACCCCTGAACCTAAAATTAAAGGGGGAAAACAAAGGTTTATTGATTTTGTTTATCTTTTCAAAAAACTAGCTTTTCACTTCATTGACCATTTGGTACACAACTTATTATTATTTTTTTAAAGACACAGGGTCTCACTCTGTTGCACAGGCTGGAGTATAGTAGCATGATCATAGCCTGCTGCAGCTGCCAATTCCTGGGCTCAAGTAATCCTTCCACTTCGGCCTCCCGAGTAGCTGAGACAACAGGCATGTAACACCATTCCTAACATTTTTTTTTTTTTTTAAATTATCGGGCCAATTAAAGATTGAAACTGGCCTGTTTTGGAAGAAGACTGTTATCTCTCTCTCCTGATTTTTTTTTTTTTTTCAATTGCATTTGAGGTTTAGGGGTACATGTGAAGAACATATAAGATTGTTGCATAGGTACACACATGGCAGTGTGGTTTGCTGCCTTCTTCCCCATCACCTATATCTGGCATTTCTCCCCATGTTATCCTGCCCCAACTCTCCACCCCCCACTGTCCCTCCCCTAGATCCCCCCACAGACCCCAGTGTGTGATGCTCCCCTCCCTGTGTCCATGTGTTCTCATTGTTCAACATCCGCCTATGAGTGAGAACATGCGGTGTTTGCTTTTCTGTTCTTGTGTCAGTTTGCTGAGAATGATGGTTTCCAGGTTCATCCATGTCCCTACAAAGGACACGAACTCATTGTTTTTTATGGCTGCATACTATTCCATGGTGTATATGTGCCACATTTTCCCTGTCCAGTCTGTCATCGATGGGCATTTGGGTTGGTTCCAAGTCTTTGCTATTGTAAACAGTGCCGCAATGAACATTCGTGTGCACGTGTCCTTATAACAGACTGATTTATAATCCTTTGGATATATACCCAGTAATGGGATTGCTGGGTCAAATAGAATTTCTATTTCTAGGTCCTTGAGGAATCGCCACACTGTCTTCCACAACGGTTGAACTAATTTACACTCCCACCAACAGTGTAAAAGTGTTCCTATTTCTCCACATCCTCTCCAGCATCTGTTGTCTCCAGATTTTTTAATGATCATCATTCTAACTGGTGTGAGATGGTATCTCAGTGTAGTTTTGATTTGCATTTCTCTGATGACCAGTGATGATGAGCATTTTTTCATATGTTTGTTGGCCTCATATATGTCTTCTTTTATAAAGTATCTGTTCATATCCTTCCCCAATGTTGAATGGGCTTGTTTTTTCTTGTAAATCTGTTTTAGTTCTTTGTAGATTCCAGATATTAGCCCTTTGTCAGATGGGTAGATTGCAAAAATTTTTTCCCATTCTGTTGGTTGCCGATTCACTCTAATGACTGTTTCTTTTGCCGTGCAGAAGCTGTGGAGTTTGATTAGGTCCCATTTGTCTATTTTGGCTTTTGTTGCCAATGCTTTTGGTGTTTTGGTCATGAAGTCCTTGGCTATGCCTATGTCCTGAATGGTTTTGCCTAGATTTTCTTCTAGAGTTTTTATGGTGTTAGGTCTTATGTTTAAGTCTTGAATTCATCTGGGGTTAATTTTAGTGTAAGGTTTCAGGAAGGGGTCCAGTTTCTGCTTTCTGCACATGGCTAGCCAGTTTTCCCAACACTGTTTATTAAACAGGGAATCTTTTCCCTATTGCTTGTTTTTATCAGGTTTGTCAAAGACCAGATGGTTGTAGATGTGTGGTGTTGCCTCCAAGGTCTCTGTTCTGTTCCATTGGTCTATATCTCTGTTTTGGTACCAGTACCATGCTGTTTTGATTACTGTAGCCTTGTAGTATAGTTTGAAGTCAGGTAGTGTGACACCTTGTTTTGTTCTTTTTGCTTAGAATTGACTTGGCTATGTGGGCTCTCTTTTGGTTCCATATGAAGTTTAAGGTGGTTTTTTCCAGTTCTGTGAAGAATGTCATTGGTAGCTTGATGGGGATGGCGTTGAATCTGTAAATTACTTTGGGCAGTATGGCCATTTTCACTATATTGATTCTTCCTAACCATGAACATTGCATGTTTCTCCATCTGTTTGTGTCCTCTCTTATTTCATTGAGCAGTGGCTTGCAGTTCTCCTTGAAGAGGCCCTTTACGTTCCTTGTTAGTTGTATTCCTAGGTATTTCATTCTCTTTGTGGCAATTGTGAATGGCAGTTCGTTCTTGATTTGGCTCTCTTTAAGTCTGTTATTGGTGTGTAGGAATGCATGTGATTTTTGCACATTGATTTTGTATCCTGAGACTTTGCCGAAGTTGCTTATCAGTTTCAGGAGATTTTGGGCTGAGACGATGGGGTCTTCTAGATATATATCATCTCGTCTGCAAATAGAGACTATTTGACTTCCTCCTTCTCTATTTGAATACCCTTTATTTCTTTTTCTTGCCTGATTGCTCTGGCCAGAACTTCCAGTACTGTATTGAATAGGAGTGGTGAGAGAGGGCATCCTTGTCTCATGCCAGATTTCAAAGAGAATGCTTCCAGTTTTTGCCCATTCAGTATGATATTGGCTGTTGGTATGTCATAAATAGCTTTTATTATTTTGAGATATGTTCCGTCAATACCTAGTTTATTGAG